AGATGTGAGGGTTACTGGGCTGTGGTGTGCTCATCAACCTCCCCCACTATGTCCACCCTCCTCCCCCAGACAATCTGGGCATGATCTGGTGTGATTACATTAAAATGGAGTAAAATATTGCTTCATTTCTGAGCTAAATCTGGCGCTCTATGATTGAGCCTCAGTATGAGAAATATCTGATTTGCTGATATGAAAGAAACATTGGATAAAGAGTTATGCAATTGCTTGTAAAAATAAAGAAATTAGTATAAACAATGTGAATCTAGTGTAATCAGAAAATTGCTTCTTTTATTTGATGTGTCCAGCACATTTAGTCACCGTTCAGTTTTTGCCTCTTAAGCTGTATCCTGAACTCTCTAACAAAGCCAAACATTTAAATTGGTAGTACAAAAATACAAGTTTTTAAACTGAGGAGAAAAAAAATATATACCTTCTTACTGTAATTCTATCTTTTGTTACACACAAACACAATTCTACTAGGAATAAAGCACTTGTTACATTTTAGTCTGTAAAATAAAGACACTTTTACCAACCTCGACATTAAGACAAGTATCATGAGTTACGAGAATAAAATCTTATACTGTGAAACTTCATTGTGTTTGGAGGCAAAAGTTTTGTCAATGCTACCCTTATCTGCTCGCAAATATTTCAGTTTAACTTATTTATTGGGTGATCAGTCGTCTTTTCCAGGAGAAAAAAAAAAATGTTGAAAGTGGCAAGGTAACTTTAGAGTATTTTCTGGAAGTGAAAAGGTGGGGCTATTTGGGCAAGTTTTACCTCCCTTTTTTTTTTTTTGACAGGAGTTAGTGAAGCCCAAGAACAGAAAACAAGCAAACAAAAAAAGATTAGCCCATAACACAGAGGAAAACTTTGTAGAAGACTGGTGGATTTAGGAGACCAAACTATTTCTAAGGAGATAGCTGAAAGTGAGTATGAAACAATCGAGATTGAGAGAAAAGCCCCTTATAAGGCCAGGCCACGAGACAAGGAAAACTGAGACATGATTTCCTCAGCATCGGTTTGGCACTACAAGCCCTAACGCACCCAAGGCCGTACAAGGAATACAAGCCAGGGTTCCTGCCTCACCAGTGGTGGTATCAGAACGCTTCATGCTGAAAGACAGACCAAGGAAACAAGAGACACTAACAAGAACAGATTCATCTGGCTACGCCAAACAGGAGAAGATAGTCTTCACTGCACCCCAGCCCACATACCCTATAGCCTCCACTCTCCTCCAAGCCATGACATGGGGTTGCCTTGTGAAATGATGCTTTAAAGAAACTGGAAAATACCACTTACAGAAAAGGTCTGTTACCTGCTGTCAACAGCCACAAGGGAGGAGAATGTTGCGGACTACAGGAGACACTGGGATCTGCTGCAATGCTTCAAGAACTATTTGTTTGGAGAGCCAAGTATATGCTTTGCTGTGGCTGCATGATTCACATCCTATTATTTTTAAATACAGTAATATATATATGCATACACACACATGCACACAAATATATAAAAAGGTTATTCAACCCTGCTAGACCATTGTATGAATATGAAAAAATCCAATACTGCATAATCAGCCCTGCAAATTCCAAATTTACTGTAACACATTACTATTTGAGGAATACCATATTTTAAGTTGCATGATATAAAATTTAATGCTACGTTTAAAGCAAATCAGTACGTCCTTGGCTCCCAAAACAAAACCCACTGAAACTTAAAAGGCCCATGAACAGGATCTCTGATTGAACAGGTAGGAAGGATAACAATCACGCATTTCCCAAACGCCTCAAATTCCCAATTACCTGAGCTAGACTTAATTATTGAATTTCAATAAATGTTTTCCTTTTACAAGTCTTCAGGCTCAGACACACATTCATCTAGCAACCAGCAGCAACAATTTAAGATATTACTGTCCTGTGGTTAGTTGTTTACTGTCCTTACAAAGCTGTCAGAAAAGAACTGCTTGCACAAAAACCTGATCAAGTACAGAAAGTTACACTGCCAAAATAAATTCTAAAAATGAAAAAAAATCTCATGTTAATAGCAAGATGAAGCATTGTGTCATTGAAAAAGTGTCATCTAACCTGAATAAGGATTTACTTTTTCTGTATTTTGGATACAAAAAAAATGAGTCCCTGTATTTAACTAAAGCTAAACTTTTAAACCTGAGTGATTTTCTTAAAAATACAAGACATTCAGTATTATTATATATTACATTCTGCCTGTATGCAATTATACCTTAAAGACTGAAACAAACACAGCTGCACAAAGTACAACAGGCTACACTAAAGATATAATCTGAAAAAAATTATGTTAAATAAAAATGAAACACAAAATGGCTTCCATTTTAAAGGTAAATTCCCCTATGCTAAAAGTAAACACAGATTTTTTTTTTTTTCCTTAAGACTCGAAGGTTTTCTTCTACATGTTGTATAAATACCAATAAACTTACCAACCACAGAAAATATCCCAAGATTGTGCAGAGTCGTCACAGAGTCCATCCAGGAGAAAGGACAGCAGTTCAAAAATCAAATAACTACATTCACTACGTTATGAAGTGAATACAAGGCAAGCTGACAGTGTAGAATATATATGCATATGTATTTGCCAGAAATACAGGAAATGAATTAAACATGTCACACAACTCAAGTTATATCTTGATTGTCATGCACTGGTACGTCCTTGAGGAACCAAAAGGTGGGATGAAAGCCCTACACCCCTAATATTCGGACACAGCTAGCAAAGAGCTGTGTCGAATACTTCGTGTCCTTTGAACAGCTCCGTTTGATTTTGCTGGAACTAATCACAGTGCAGAAAGCTAAACATACCTAATTTTACACAAATCAAGCCTTTAAATCTCTGGCTGTTTTTTCTTTGAAAAAAATCCAGTAAGCACCCTAATTGGACATCCATACAAAACCAATCTGTCTGTGTATTGCCACCTAGATTCCACATCGCCATAAGGGATGTGGGACTGTTCACTGCGCTCTTAAGAAAACAGTATTTCCTAAGTCACACTTAAAATTCTTAGACTACTTATTTTGAAGACTACATTTTTCTATTTCTGCATAGCATTCTTACCTCTTCTGCCTTCAAACACATCATTGATTTCTCTTAACAACATCGACATGTCACTCAGTTGAGACTCCCAGGCCTCACAGAACACCTCCAGATTTTCTTTTGCAATCTTGCTAGATGGATGTAACGCCAGTGTTTCTGCAGCAGAGATTATCTGGACAGAGAACAAAATATTAGCTGTTGGGAGTCTTAGTATATAGTCTCACACATGAATTCACAAACATCTTCACAGACAAAACACAAAATTAAGCTGCTACTATTACACCTTTGTCCTGTATTCATCTGCCATTTGCAGGCTTGATGATCTTCCTTGTGCACTTTTAGCTACTGCCCAACACTGAAGTGTAACTCTTAGAACTGCTTTGAACAGTTCCACATTAAGTCTCCAAAAAAATCCATACAAGTAATTTTTATTGATTTATGTCCAGTACAAGAGGCCAGATAAAAGCTAAGCATACCTGTGGGCCAGTGACCTGAAAGGTATCTTCTGCGTGTATGCAAGTAATCTCGAGGGGCTCCGTTCCAGAGACATGCCTCAGTAAACGACACATCTGAATAATTTTTTTATAAATTTAAAGATAAAAGAACGATAAAAAATATGCTTTCATTAGTAGTGAGAATGGTTGCACATGCACACACACAAACACAAAGTTATTGACAGTCCTTTCAGAAACTTACTGGGGACCACACAGTTGGGTGCTTTTCAGGGATCATTTACAATAAAAACAGGGCGAAATCCTGACTTGGAACATGGAGAAAATAACTGAAAGTCTTAAAAAATAAAAATAAAACAATTTCACATATTTATAACTGAATAAAGCTGGAAGTAATCAGAAACCTACAGAACTTGGAAATACTGTAGCACAACTTCACCAGAACAGATGTACTCAGCAATTGGCAATCATGTGGAAAATTTAGGCTTTTATCATCCAGGAGACTGAATTATCTTTGAGCAAATCAGTGTCAAATTAATTTAAGGACGAAATACTGTTTCCTTTCACAATGAGCAAAATGTAGTCTTTTTTTAAATAAGATTAAGAATGAAAGTTGGGCTGAGAAGGAACATCGAAGTTTGCAGATCAAAAGGAGAATTTGTAAGACAGAGACAGCACATATGAAGCTAACTGCCCCGTCCATCAGAAATACTATAGGGCCTCACATACAAGCACTATTTAACCTCATGGTTACCCCTGGGAAACAAAAAATTAAAAAAATCAGTGTCTCACTGGAACACTAATTAGTCACAGCAAAAGGGGACATTAAAGCTGAAATTAAAAATCCACAGCGTTGATTTGCCAGTCCCAGAAGTTCAAGGGCGTTGCTCCTGCATATTCAATCCTTCTGGGACGAATCCTCCAGCCCCATATGATATCAGGATTTTTTAGAAATGAATGACCATTAGATGCCACGCAAGGATAGCTGCTGGCATCATCACGTTCCAGATCAGTGGCCTCTTTGTACAGCTCCTACTGGTACAGTTACACCTGCTCGTCTGTCAGACGAGAGCACAACAAGGCACACGTGGCAGACATCCTCGCCCGAGAACCATGATGGCTCAGTAGTCTCACAAAGTCCTAGTTGTTCACATGTGTGAATGTTGCCATATAAAACCATGAATGCACTAGTACATGAAACACACACTGCTTTTCACAAAGGAGAAAAGATTTTCAGTGGCTCTCTTGACTGACAAAAACTACACAAGATTTCCCAAACAGTGAAGTTCACTGCACTGAGAAACTTGGCCTTACATTTCCAGCCTTCTTAAAATGTGTCTTTGGATTCAGCTGCTGCTGGACACCTACTGCTTGAGACAAAAAGGCTATCATCTCTACATAGATCTATTTTTTAATGAGTATTTTAGCCCCAATATGGACACACAGATTAAGTCTAGATCCAGGAGAAGAATTGGGTACAACTATACATCACTTCAACAACTGTATGCCACAGTGACACCTCTGCCTCAGACCCTACCAAGAACAAGACAAAAGTCAACAGTATACCAGGAAAATAAAATGAAAATTACAAAAAACAGAGACCAAAGCCTTCCTAGGAATAGATTAAGACAAATTTGGCCACTCATTTTTCTACGTACCTTACAAAATGAAAGCAGCTGTGAACTCACCTCAACAAGTTGTTCTTTCTGCTCTGATAGCTTGCAGGTATATTCTGCTACAGCTTCAAGATTTCCTTCTACTCCCGTGATTTTCAATGCTTTGAGAACCATATGATCCGTATGGTATTTTAGCAGATCTGCTGCCAAAGATGTTGCTGCACTGTGGACCTTGAGTTGCATTAAAAGAAGAAGAGATAAACCTTGGAAGGAAAAAAATTCATCTAGTACCATGTCAAATAAACTGAAGAGACAGACTGATTTCTCCAAGAAGCAAAAAATTCACTGCTTGCATATTATCTGGGGCTTTAATTCTTCAATTACCATTCAAAGTAAACAGATAAAATCCACTGCATTCCAAAAAAAAACCCCACAACCAAATATGGAGGAAAACAAAAGAGCAGCTGGGTGAAGTGAGGACATGAAGTTATTACACTGCTGCTTTCTGATAATGTTACAGCTGGGAAAAAAAACAGGTGCATGAATTTGTGGGGCACCAAGTTCAGCATAAGCATGGCACAGCAGCCACTCTTCTCTTGAGCACACACTAAACTGTGGGAATCAGATTGAAGCCACCCAGCATCTGAGTTTATAATGTATTAGAAATCCAGTTCCTATGAATAAACTGAATTCGCAGTGACGCAAAGAAAAGCTTGAATATCATCAGCTTGTGAAACGGCCTTAGAAAAGTAAAAACAACCTTTTCTGCAAGGCGACTGAAGGCAGAGATGGGTCTTGAGGAAGTCTCAACCGTCCTCCCTACACTCCCAATGAGCAAGGAGAAGCTTCCCCTTGAAACGCATCCCTAAATCCAGACACACTTTCAGACACAGTCTGCTGAAAGCAAGCTGTGAAGGACTCTGCGTGACAACAGCTACCAGCTGCTGTGAGCTCTAGTGACCAGTCACAGTCTAGTGACCAGTCACCATTTTAAAAAACAGGTAAATACAGAATAGCAACCTCTTTAGAAATAGCAGAGCATTCTTATGCTCGTAAGACTATCACTTTGGCAGACTGCACTGAATATACAACAAACTTGGTTGTACAAGAATGTTATTTTTCAAGTTCTTAGGAATGCAATGAGCTTGAAATGGTGAGTCTGGTGGGCCTTGACTCTGGAGAGAAAGAATGTTTACTAGAATGATACGTTTGGGATTTTATCTCACTGAATTCTACCTATTTTTAGCCCTTTCCCTTGGCAGCACTTCCTGTGCAGTCCAGAATTAAGGTTTTCTGGTTTATTTCAAGAAACCTGAATTGTTGTCTCAAAACCTGCTGCAACTGTTTCTTTAGAGGGGAAAAGAAAGTATCTATGACAACCTGTTATAAACTATTCATATAGCGTTGTTCATACGCCATTAAAGCTAGCACAAGCCACTAAACTCAGAAATGAAGTCAGCTCTGAAGAAAGTGTACCTACAAGGCCTGTAATGTTAGAGTAGGAACTGGCAATTCTCATTTATATATAGGCTACATAGAGATTACCTTTTCATTAGAGATTCTTTTCATCCTGATCTAAAAAAGAAATTCACTTGTACTTAATGCCGTCTCTGATCATCAGCACAAATGTCATCTCAAGGAAGGAACTGCCTTTTGTTTCTTCCATAAAGTGAGAGATGAGAAAAAAACCCTACTTTCAACAAGGCTATCTTGTGTTCTCAGCCACCCAGGCTCTCAAAAGCATTTTAATCACAATATTTGAATTTCACCAGTGGATATCCTGGTTGCTGACCGACACAAGTCAGACTGACAGGACAGTCTCCTCAGCCACATACAGAAACACAGCTACTCCACGATCAATCCAACCCCTACACTGAGAACAAGGAAAACTACATAACACACTAAATTTACTTCCACAAGTAGCATGAACCCTGTGCATTTTTAAAAAGCTCTTACTAAGCAAGATGTCATACTCTACAGGTCACCAGAGCAAGTCATACAGAATTTAGGATTTGTTAGTCTAGAAATCCACACCCACTCAATTTGCCCCACCATTTCTAAGACAGCATGCCACATTTTCACCCGCATTGCTTTTAATATGAAGCTACACCACAGGACACAGTATTTTGTATTTTAATGTCACCTCTGTTAGCTGGTTTACAGAAGGTAATTTTCTATTATTGTCACCTGACAAGATTCTTTAACTTACACACGGTAAACATGCAGTCTTTGTTGCATGACACTTTCACAAACAGAAACCCACAGGCAGGACAATATGGTAAGATTCACGTTTATGGAGCTGCAAGAAAATACAAGATGGATTCAAATGCTACAACCACCTGAAAGGAGATTGTAGCGAGGTGGGTGTGGGTCTCTTCTCCCAGGTAACTAGTGACAGGATGAGAGCAAACGGCCCCAAGTTGCACCAGGGGAGCTTTAGATTGGATATTAGGAAAAAATTCTTTACTGAAAGACTGGTCAAACACTGGAACAGGCTGCTCGTGGAAGTGGTGGGGGGAGTCTTGCAGCTCCATAAAGCCTGTGCCAGTGTCTCACCACCCTCATCATAAAAAATTTATTCCTTATATCCAGTCTAAATCTGCCCTCCTTTAGTTTAAAACCACTACTTCTTGTCCTATCACAACAGGTCCTGCTAAAAAGGTCGTCCCCATCTTTCTTACAGGCCCCATTTAAGTACTGAAGGGCCACAATAAGGTCTCCCCAGAGCCTTCTCTTTTCTTCTTAGGAAAAGAATGGTTTACAACAGGCACATACACAGCTGCCAACTGTCTAGAAAAATACCTGAGTGCAAGGCACCGTCATAACACATTTCTGCTATAGAAATCAACAGAGCAAGTGTCATTTATTCATTTAAGCACACACTACAAGAAGTATTTGAAACAGTGATGCATGCATCCCCAAGGAAAGTTTAGCCTTTACATTTAAAGTAATGCTTATATAGTACTTTGTTCCAAACACGCTTTTTTATTGTTGTCAGAGTTAGCAAAAAGCCTATGACTCCAACAGATTTCTCATCAGCTCTAAGTAAGGACACAGAAGATGACCGCATACTAGCTCCCTGATGTATTCAGTTACTCTTGTCCATAAATAGATACTAACCTTTTTGGGTACAGAATCCTATTTTACAACTTCACGTACAACAAGTGAGAAATTCAAGCTTTTATTCAGTTTATGCTTGCTTAAACTAGACTTACCTCTCTTTTAAGTTCATTCATGCACTGGCATGTTTTTAAAATGGCGACTTCCAATTCTTCCATGAGATCCTTTGTCTTCTGGTTTTGCTACAAGCCAAAGAAAGCAACCAACAAAACATTACACAAAACCAGAGCAAATCCCACCGTCACCTCATGTGTCATTACTTCAAGTTGCATTAGAAGACAGCCTTTTCTTTCTAGACGTAATGTTTTCACTTGTACATCTTGTGTACGTTCTACTTGAAAAATTCTTTTAGAGAAACACTTATGATCAAATAAAATCTAAAAAGAATAGCGATGCAAGCTAATTGACTGTTTCTGTTCAACAGGAATTTATTTCTAAACCTCACTGAGCTTTTTTTCCAGAAAAGCGTTACCTTAAGCTTTACAGCTCCCAAAAACCTTCTGTCTAATCATCCTGAAGTAGAGCAATGGTTTAAGGCATTTATTTTTATTTTTATTTTAAATATAAACACTCTTGTAAAATAAAGCAGTATCTAAGATGTTATACCAAATGTTCTATACTGAATTACAAAAAGGTTACTTAAAGCATTCTTGTAAGACTTTAGATCATAGTCTAATTTAAATGAGTACAGTAGCTAACAATATTTTGTTGAGGTAGCTTCAAGACAGAGGTCCCACTTCTGCAAACAGCACCTATCTATGGAACAACCCAGATGTCAAAAGACATACACTGGGAAAGGAGTTAAGCAGCAGTGATTTTGCATTTTCCTCCAAAATATACTAGAAACAATTATCCTAGGTGGGACTGTTAACATGGCCATTGCTGAAAAAAAATGAGCTCCTCAGGGTCTAAATTAACACAAACATACACACACAAAACATGTGTAGGTATAGACATGCACACCCTCCACTCCATTTAAAGGAAAAAACCCCACCCAAGCCAGTATGATCATTTTCTCAGGTATTCCTAGCTGTTCTAGGTCTCAAAGCTACCTGAACCTCAAAATTAACGCTTTCCTTTAAGTAATTTGTGTAGAAGTGTAATGTCACAAAATCACTTTTAAGACAAGGAGCATAAAGTTTTATACTCGCTACAGTGTCCTTTTTATTTTTTTTACCTATTTAACATGCACATTTTCAGTGTAATGTCACAAAATCACTTTTAAGACAAAGAGCATAAAGTTTTATACTCACTACAGTGTCCTTTTTATTTTTTTTTACTTATTTAACATGCACATTTTTGCTCCTTCTACGTGTAACTTTTTTTTTTAAAACACAAGGGAAGGAATTTTCTAGCCAAAATAAGGTTACAGGAAAACCTAAAACATGACCGTAGCTTTCAATTTTATGAGCTCGAACACACACAGGAAGAATTTCAGAAACATTTAAAATTCAATCAACAGCATGAGATTATCTGTTGTACTCCAGCTAGTTTTCATTAACACAAAAAAGCAGATCAGTGATGTCAGTCTAGTTTCGACTTGACCTAGGTTACAAGACACTTCTGTTTTAAAATACAGTCTTCACTGAAGACTCACAGTTACTCTGCTTGCTAAAATGAAGTATAGTGAGTGCAAAGGGAAATAATTGGGCACTCTAAGAGCTCTACATATCCCCCAACTCCTGCGTCCCCCAAGGCATGGTCATTTTTTTCTTTTTTTTAGATCAACGATCCCACTTGAATTACATTAAATCCCTCAGAAAATATTCACCCTCTGACAAAGCTGCGGTGCTGAAACTAAAAAGCCACCTCAGTGAGCTGATGCTATGTTATCTGCTCACTGTGCCTTCCACCACAGCTAGGTTGGGTTATTTACCAATGACAATACTTAATGCATAAGCACACATGTGCACGCCCAAGTATTTTCACGGATCATATACATGCATAGTCTTGTACTAGCCTCTCATTTTTATCACCTGAAATGTAGCATGTAAATTATTTAGAGGTGATCATTTCCTACCAGTAATAGAGCTCAGAAATACCCAAGTGTACTGGTTTTGGCTGGGACAGAGTTAATTTCCTTCATAGTATCTGGTATTGTGCTGGTTTGGATTTGTGATAAAACCAGTGTTGATAACAGGGATGTGTTAGCTACTGCTGAGCAGTGCTCACTCAGCTGCCTACCAGGGTTAGCCACCAACACCAAGCTAAACACAGTCTTAGTCTCTTACAGTTATGGGATTTTATGCAGTTAATATTCTACACGTGTCCTCTTTGTAATAACAACAGTCTATTATCACTATATATGCTTTTCAAACTGCATTACGAACACCTGTCTGCAGCATCTGAGGAGAAAAGGAACAAAAATTCTTCCTCCTAAGTAATACATGCAGTTAAGCAAGTATCCTATACTCGTACACATCTGCCAGGTTTCAGAGTCTTGATCAGATTTTGTGCTATACATTTTCCCCAGGAACAAGACCGAAAGCAAGTCAGCATCAGGAACAGAAATTGCATTTCCCATCTCTGCTTTCTCTCCCCTTTTTGCATGTATCTTCTATCATCTTCAAGGAACAAGGTAAAACAAATGACAGCAGGAGGCTTAATGTACTTCTCCAGAAAAGAAAGCTGTCAACATTTAAATCTTGTAACAAGGACAAACAAAAATTGCCTTTAAGTATTAGTGCCTCTCCTCTCTCCACGAGATGAAAAAAACAGTAAATTTTTTAGAATATTTCCCTTTTCAATAGTTTGAGTGTTTTCAATGTTCTGTTGAAAACAAGAAACAGAAACTGTGGTCACTCCCATGGGATCAAGACAATCGAAGTCTTTGAACTAATCAACCAAAAGACCTAACTGTTTAAGACTGTGCCATGATACTTCCATTCGTTTTCTTGTTTCCACTTAACAGCTTCAGTAAAATTAGTCTACTGCCAGTAAGAGCCTAATTTAGCCAGCAAAGAATCAATGAAGCAATACCACTGGGGAAGGGGAAGGACAGAACCTACTGAAGCTGCAGAAGCACAGAACAAACTCTGGCTTCCTTGATCAGCTGTCACTGTGAGGAACACACACAGTTCTCTCATCCTACACCAGGAGAAGCACTGCATTAAAAAGTTCTTTCCAAAGTAGAGGTGAAAAGATTTACTTTGCTAAAAAGCTCTTACAGCTTGCATCCACACTGAAACCAGCTGCTCTAGTTCCATTTTAGCCTGTTTGGACAGCTCCAAAATGTGTTCTCTGTGCTCATGACTGGTATAGGCAGAGTCTGTGAAGTCCTCAGTATGTTCCAGGATAACTTCCAGCATTGTCGAAAGGTTCTCTTTTGAGAGAAAATAAAGATTCTCACGAAGACCCTCCACCTTATTCTGAAAAAAAAAAACCCCCATATCAGTTTCTTGAGAATTTGCGTGGTTATACAGTTGTGATGCAAAAGCAGAAAGCAGATGCATCATTTTACATTTTATTTTTCTCCTCAGTGTTTTTTGAAATTATTGCCCTATTTTCAAAGCAATCCAACAATTTCTTTGTATCCAGACCAGTTTAGGGTTTGGGAATTTTTTTTAAATGTAATAATACCATCAGCAAATGACTGGCCACTTATCAGAAGTAACAGCAAATACATTACTGTTCTACTGCTGTCAATAAAAAGGTTTTAAGTTCATTAACTTTCAGAAATTAGTTGTGTATTCAAATTTCGTTTGTTCTTTCCACATCCATATCAACTATTTCGAGTATTTTTCTAAAAATTTGTACGTAGCGGATTAAATACTTTCAGGCACTTTGCAAAAATTTCAACCAAATTCTAAAGGGGGGGGGTGGGGGGTGGGATAAAGTAAAAATAAAATCAAAGCGACGGATTCCAAAGTAGTAAGACATGGATGTTCATTAACTGTTCTCAAATTAAATTTAGAAAAGCCTTTAGCAGGAAAAAAAAAAATCCACTGAGCTACAAGATAGAGTTTCAATTCATAATATTTCCTTTGAATGACAGTGTGTGCTTTTAAATGTTTGGATGAATGTTTTTGTGTGCAGATTTAAAAATACCAGCAATCACAAAGCAAGAATTCTTCAATAACAACTATTTTAATGAAGTTCTTATTGGTATCCTGATACTTAGGTTTATTCAATGTCAAGGCATCACATCAACAGAACATTAGAGTTGTGAAAGCATTCTGATTCAGGAGGAGATGGCAAGTATCAGAAGGTGTATTTTGGCAACAACAATTAAATTATAATCACCTCTCATCAGATCCTCTGACATTTTGGGACAGTTACCTAAGTTAACGCTGCTGAAGAGATGCAGCTCTGCCATTTGAAGTTTGAATTATTTTTTTTTCCCCAAAAACATTCTAGTTTTGAGGCAATGCATTAAGCTGTAGAAAACAATACTATCTCTACTCTTACCTTGAATTCTTTGATGCCAGAATATATGCTGATGGGGGCCATTTCATTTTCTCCGTTTGGTCTAGAGTCAGTCACAATTTCTATTACCTGTTCCAAAGCTAATCTCATCCGATGAAACACTCCATCTTTGTTTATACGAGCAGATTCACAGTCTGGATGCCTCAGACAAGTCTTTTTAAAGAAAGCAGAGTATTACAAGAGAGTACACGTGCAGGAGAGTGAAATGAACACTACCTGCTAAGGCTAAGTCTGAAGAATGTGTTAGAATATGATAAATTCTTGCTGTTAAACTGCTATTGTGTTAAGTAGAATTCATACCATTACTCAGAATTAAAAAAAAAATAATCTTCCTCTATTCATTCTCTCATTTCCTCTTACACCCTTCTGTAGCATGAAGTTTAAAGAGGGGCTATGAAAGAGGAGTCAGCTATCCTGCCCGATGGCACACTCTGATTTACCCAAGTAGCGTAAGAGCACACACCCTCACTCACCTTCGAGGCAGTGAGGAGCATCATGGTGCACTTCTCAAGAACAGCCCTAGACGCTGCCATTCTAGCCTTTTTCTTCTCATCCTTCAAATCCTAAACACCAGAAGAAAAAGTGACCTGAATATTACACAGTATCTAAGAAGTTAACTGCTTGTGAGACCGGAAAAAGGAAACTCTTGCAGATGGACGGGTTGTGAGAAGGCTTCTTGATGTCTGACAACTGCTATTTTCAGCCTAACTCATGATGTAGAACTTGCTTTTCAGACAGATTTTAATTTATGCATTTATTCTTGGCTCTATTCAATTCAGATTTCAAAGAAGGAAGATCTCAGAGGTAGAGTGTGTTATGTAAACTGTCACTAATTTTGCTATCTTATCATATAGCATTATTCATAAAACAGGAAAGCGAGGAGAAAAGAATAGCTGATTAGAAAATATTTTCTGAAATGGGGGGAGGGTAAGGCAGAGACAGAGAACATTAGCTTTTCATTGTACCGCAGAGGAGTAAACATAAAATAAAATAAATCTTTTGTCTACTTGAGTGTTGCATTTACTACATACCAGCAATAAAGAAAAGTTTTAACAGATTAAAAAAGCAATTCCTCTGTAGTAAGGCACTGAGCACAGAAACCTTTCAAGTACCCTCCAGGGAGAGGGATATACTTGCAAAACTCAACCGTACACCCAGAAAAGTTCATCAAAAGGGAAGAATCTGGAGTCCAAATTGGGATGGGGGTGGGAAGGAGGGAAGAGGGCAAGACACGAATCTCTCAATCGATTCATTGTTACATGAATTACAAAGCTACAACTCAATGCTCGCAAAGATGGCTGAGTGCTATTTGAGTATTAAACAGGCAACTGAAGGGGACCAGCTGAAAAGAGAACAGTTTACAGGATGGAATTAATCCTAATTTACTTTAGATTAGCAAAAAAACCCCAGATAAATCACAGCAGCCATCTGTTTTGACATTTTCATGAAAATCTTCCTTAGCAACTACAGAAAATCTAAGATCAAAATCACCACATTTAAAAAAAAAAAGCAGCTCATTTCTGAAATACCAAGCATACCAAGAAAGTCCTGACAATTTAAAAAAGCAGTAATGAGAGACTCTTTCCAAACCAGTCAAGTAGGCAAGGAGGGGAGAGCCAAAGACCAGTTAACACCAAAAATCAAATATAGTTGAAAAGAATATCACTTACTAGTAACACACCTTTCTCTTGCCAAGGAACAACTGCTATGACTATTTCAGGGGAAAATAAAGAGAGCTCGTTTCTAAGGATGTATTTCCTTTAATTATACATAGCTTTTCCAGAACTGATTCTTTGATACTGAGCATGTACTTAGACTCTGAACACACCGACAGTAAAAGGAGATGCATGAGGTTGGCCAATTGTTTATACAAATCGAATTCTGAATTTTGCTGGATATTAGGGGACTCTGTATCTATACAAGACCCTGATTCTGTTCTGAATGGAGGATTTGATTGCCAAGGGGAAGCAACTAGAGCTCACAGCAGAAGGCTTAACCCTTAGCAAACCTTTTCTTTACATGGAAGTAGCAGCAAAAAGCTTCCTGCATGAGTGAAAGGCTTTTTTTCAAAAAAAAAAAAAAAGAGTAGCTTTTACTACTTTCAAGAGTAGCTGCATGCAAGAATGAAAAAAAAAACCAAAACCAAAAAAAAACCAAAAAACCCAAACCACATTACCCCAACATATGCAGGTTTTGACCTAAACCTAGAAAAATATTCTAGAATAATTAAGGAAATGCTTTACTAGCATGTAAAGATTTAATGTTTGGAGTTTTCTAAAATAATTACTCCGCTTTCAAATTCCTTCACTAGGTGCAATCATCAAATGTTTCTGTCAAGTAACAACAAATTCTCTATCAGAGTAATAAGCCAGAAAAGTTAAGAGCCAAGAGATGGTGACTGAAGCCAAAGGACATCCCAAATAACGTTCACGCAGGCTTCTGGAAGATAATGCAGATCCATCAACACAGCGATATTTCTCAGGCTGAGATTTAAAAATCAAATTATGTCCTTTGGATGGAGCAAGGAGAAGTAGTTAGGTTTCAGAGACAGGACACCAGCGATTGTTTTGTTTTGTAATAGTTAATTATCCCAGAAAAACCCAAATCTTCCAGTGAATCAGATTAAAATGATACCTTACACCACTTCTCACGGTGTTTTATTAATACTCACATTTTGCCGATCTCCAGTTAAATGGGCAAACTCTACCATTTCATTTCCAAATTGACTGAATATTTGTACAAACTCCTGGAAACTACTGACTTTTTCTAGTTGTTCCATTGTTGCAAGAACCTGCAAGTTAAAGGAAAATACTGTAGATTATCAAGATGCTAAACAGAAAACATTATTGCTAAACTAGGAACATTATTATTTGCAGACACTTCTACATCATGTTGTTTAAATGTATACATTTTGTCACTATTTAAGCATTAATAACTCAATAGCCGGAAATCAAGTCTGCATTAATCATCATGCTTCATTCAAAATGAGTCATTTGTTGACCCTGGAAATGCTCAAGGCCAGGCTGGTTGAGCAACCTGGTGGAAGGTGCTCCTGCCCGTGGCAGAGGTGTTGAAACTAGGTGAGCTTCAAGGTCCCTTCCAACCCAAACCATTCTATGGTTCTGTGATTGTCAACCCTCAAAAAACATCATCCTCACTCTTCCCGGTATCAAGAGTTAACTATCACAGGATTCAGTTTCCAGATTTAGGAAAAATTTTACTGTCGTATTAAATTAAAAAACATATGTACTTTAAATTTCTATACAGATTATATCCCTAAATAAAATACAGATTATACATCCCTATAACAGAGTTGTAACTCAATTTCAGAGTTCAATTTCAGATGCACAACTTTCAAAGTTTAAAACCAGTTGCACCATCAAACAGGTGTTTTAATGGCTGTGTGCATTTAAAAAAACAACATTCCACACAAGAAAACAAGAAAGAGATTAGTTAAAATAGTTTTATACTTTCCATAACAACTTACTCTAACATTGAAGATTATTAGCTCTATATAAAACAAAGAACTAAATGAACCCAAGTTGTATCAAACCCTTACTCAAGATATATAAAAGCATGCAAAATCAGCCTTTTTTTAAAAATCATTCAGCAAAAAACATCATA